TATTGTGATTGAATTGTTTCGTTGTGATAAGGCTTACTACCAAGCAGTTGAAGTTACTACTGGTAATCGTTTATTTTATCATGTGGTTGATGATGACCGTATTGCGATGAAAATCATGAAAGAGGTTTGTTTTTAGTTGAGAATATCCAAATTTATATATGAATGATCATAACAAGAAGGATTTCTTCTTTTCTTTTCGTTGCTATTTTAATAATGATGGAAAGAGATTTCAGAGAAATGATGGTGATAAGGCAGATAGGCAAAAGCTATTATCTGTTTGCCTTATCTTTTGTATTTGTCCTTACTAGTGTTTGGTTTCAGATAAATCAGCAAAAACTATTAGGTGAAATAAATTTCTTCCCCTTGAATCGTTTGATTGCCAAACCAAGAAGAGAAGTTAATGATCCGGTGAGGAATTATAAATCATGTTAATGAAATGATAATTGCATGCAAATATTCATTGTTTATTGCGTATTGGTTGTTAATCGATGTTTTATTTGTTATAGGAAGCAAGACTTTTAATTGATGGAATGGAATATGAATCCATCTACGGTGTTGTTTTTCGTCATATTTTTGGCAACGTAGCTGTGGTACGTAGCATGCTTGCTGGCAATCGTTTGGCAAAACGTGAAGGATTTGATTGCGTCACTTTCGAGGGTTCATTTTGCTTTTTTTATAGCCTGTGAAATATCATGAGATACCACGTCTTTTTCTCACATTTGTTCTTTATGAATCTATTTTAGGCGATCAAATGAGTCGACGTGGCGAAATGACAGGAGGCTTCCTTGATGTGAAACGTTCTCGTTTGGAACTTTATAGTGCCGTTCAACAAATGCATGCGCAAAAAGTTCAATTTGAGGTTTTTTTTTTTTTTTTTAATTTTCAAAGCACAGTGATTTTGTGAATACTTGAAATAAAGCATTTTAATTATACGAAAAATGTTCAGGAAGCTCTTGAAAAGGCAGTCCATGCCAGTAATGATAAAGCTTCAAACGTAGAAAAGTTGCGTATGGAAGTTGATACATTGGAACGTGAAGTTTTATATTTGAAGTAAGTTTTGTTCTTTATTCATTGCTCTTTTACTGCTTGAAATAGACTTTGAGAGATTAAAAGGAAATATTTTTCAAAATGCAAACAGAAATATCAGTTTGAATAAGTTAAAAATTTTCTTTCTATTTTACATCCCTTCAGGGACAAGCATAGAGCCGCGTCTGAAAAAAAGCGTTACTTGTCACACCAACTCCAGCAAAGTACAAAGAATAAAGAACCGAAGGTTTTCTAACAGTTATTTTTTACAACAAAATTACCTGAAATTAATCTAGGGCAATAATTTTCCCTTACTTTGTCTACTTTTTTTCTTGCAGGTAGGACAATGTTTATATTTAAAAAATCGAATCCGCGAAATGGAAGCAACGAAAGAAAGTTTACAACGACAGCTTGGCACTCCTTTGCTCTCACAACTCAGCGACGAAGAGAAAAACATGCTTGATCAATTGCAGGTAACATCTACTGCTACAGAAAAATAATGTAGTCAATTACTATTTCTTTATTTTTACGATATCGATGTTTATTGTAGGAAGATATAAAAGGAAAAAAAGTACGCCTTGATTCTGTTAGTCGGTCGAGGACCGAGTTAGAGTCCACAAAATTGCGACTGGAGAATCAGTTGACGACGAACCTTCATCGCAAAAGGGAAAGCTTGCAGTCGGTAATCACACCAATTTTTGAATGTTATATTTGCATATCACTGTATAAGTTTTCATCATTTTAAGTTTTTATATTTTTTTAGCCTTAATCTTTGTTTTAAGCCATTTTTCAGAAAATTCATGACATATCTGTTGATGAGAAACGTAATCACCTTCAGTCAGAAATGGCGGAACTTAAATCTGTTAATAATCGGCTTTCTGAAATCATAACGCGGCTGTCTGGTTAGGTTTCCGTTCTGTTGGTTTATTTCTCATTCATATTTTAACGCTTAAATCTTACCAGTTTTTACAGAATTAGAAGAACATTTGGGTGAATTTGAAGTAAGCGACGAGAAATTAACGCGCGAATTGGAAGACTGTCAAGAGCAGCAAAAAGATTTAGAAGCTCAGGTCGCTGATTTTTCAAAGCAAGTGGACTTAATTTGCACGAAGCAATCAGCAATGCAAACAAAACGAGAGGAAATTACCAAAAAGGTTTGCCTTTAATGTTTCTTATTTTTCTAATGCATTTTATGTATTTGTTTCTGACTCGCATCACTAAACTTTTCTAAGAAAGATAAATTCTCTAAGAAAGCGTCCACCAATGAATTTAAATGTTGCAGATACGCGAACTTGGTTCGTTACCCATGGATTCGAAGAACTACGAAAGTTATTCATTGAAGCAATTAGATAAGAAGCTGGGCGAAGCCCTAGAACAATTGAAAAAGTATGAAAACGTAAATAAAAAGGCACTTGACCAATTCGTACAAGCAAGTGGCCAAAAGGAGGATCTTGCAAAACGAATGGATGAACACAGAGCCAATCAAAAGGTTGGTGATAAGAAAATTATTGAAAATAAGAAAAAATTGTTGATTTGAAAATGTAGATAAATAAGAAAATTATTGAATAAAAAAAAAAAAACAGTGTCAAGTGATGAAGGAGTCTCTTTTCGTTATTTCCAATCAATATTCATCAGTTATTTGCAGGCAATCAGCGATTTACTCACCGTTCTGGATCAGCGTAAATATGAAGCCATTCAGTTGACATTCAAGCAAGTATCAAAAAATTTCCATACCGTTTTTGAAAAACTCGTTCCTGGTGGTTATGGAAGTTTAGTGATGCGAGTCAGTCATGTGAGCAAGCTGTTACTTCTGACGTATTATAATAAAAAATGTTGCGTTATTCATATTCTTACAAGGAATAGAAATATTTTGAAAATTGCAGGATGAGGACTCACAGCCATCGCAGGATCAAAGTGACTTACATCAAATAGAAACTTTCACAGGTGTTGGAATACGAGTAAGTTTTTGTATTATATTTATGTATTATATTTTTTTGTATTATATTTTTTTTTATTTATGTATTATATTTTTTTGTATTATATTTTTGTATTTTTTTGTATTATATTTTTGTATTATATTTAGCAATGGATGATATAAGAAACTTTTTGAAAATATTTTTAAGGTTTCATTTACGGGTACATCTGAAACTCGTGAAATGCAGCAGCTCTCTGGTGGGCAGAAAAGTCTGGTAGCTTTGGCTCTTATATTTGCAATTCAGAAGTGTGACCCAGCACCTTTTTATCTTTTTGACGAAATCGATGCAGCTCTCGATGCGCAGCATAGAAAGGCAGTAGCTGGTTCGTTTTTATATTTATTTTGCGTTATAAGTCTTTCGTTCAGTAATGTGTTCATAAATTTCAGTTTCTTAGAAACTTTCGAAATTAAAAAAAAGTATTACATTCTCGCAAATTTTTGTTTTATCTTAATTTGAAAGGCATTTTTCACTGCCATTTTTATCATTATATATTACTGCAGATATGATTCATGAATTGTCGGAGAATGCACAGTTCATCACGACAACCTTCCGACCGGAATTACTAGACAGTGCAGAGAAGTATTATGGTGTTCGGTTTCGGAACAAGGTAACTTGAGAGTTTCCTTCAATTTGTATAACCAATTCTTGAATTTGCTAATATTTTCATGACTTCACGTTCAGAAGTTTAACTTCTGACTGTGAAGTGAATCTAAACATTACAGTGCTGCTTTCGTTGTATATGCTTGCCTTGATTACTTTTTCTAATTTTTTTCTGTTTTTTTATAGGTTTCACACATCGATATTGTTTCAAAAGAACAGGCATTTGATTTCGTTGAAGATGACCAGACACATGGTTAGTCATATCAGTCGACTAAGGTCACTTGAGAAGCAAATGTTGTGGGAGTGTTTATGGAAGTGTTTCGCATAGCGAAGAGTTCATAGTTCATAGCATGTCGAGACTCCTCTGCTAAAAGATCTTCTCACCAGTGTGGATGTGCAAAATCTGTAAATATTCCAGTGTTTATTTCGTAATATTATACTAATTCAAAATTACTTTTTTGTCATGGTCATTTCTATTTTAATTTTGTATTCGATTAGAAACGTAATATTTTGGGCATCATTTTTAGTTGGTTTTGTTGAATGTTTGCCTCAACCTCAGTGACCTCATATTATTGTATTCCAACCAGATAATTTAAGATTATCTCGATTCAAAAGAGCAAGTGATTTAATTAACACTTATCCCAACAAAAATATGGTCCTAAATTTCTTTTGTTGATTATTCATGGACGATGTTTTATTGATTTTTTTTTTGCAAGGCATTATTCATTTGATTTATAAATTTCTTGTTGTTTGATGTGGAACTTAAGTTCATCTCTTCGTAAAATTCATCTTGTCGCTAGACATTTTCCTGTCGTTTTTCCCGCTTGTTGAAATTGGAATTCACCATTTCTAGCATACCGACTGATTTCCACTGATTTTTTTCTGTTAATTAAAATCAAACTCTCACTGTAAAATAAAGTAAATTGTAATTTGAACTTTTGGAAATCTTGAAATTAGACATCAATCGCTTTTGTGATTTAGCTTTAGGAAAACCGATGTAAATCTGACCAGTCACATATAAAGCTCTTCATCTCTCCGCTCTGATCACTCATAACCCTTCATTGAATTTCTAAATCCTTCTTTCTTCCCACTAATGCGATTAGTTAAATTTTCAAAAATGAAGTAAATTTCAGTCATTTGATTTAATGGACATATTGCAGATAAAGAATATTGCATTCAGATTTGCTCTATGAATTCTTCGATGAAGTTAAAACCAGAAGTTAATGACCAAGATAGGAGGGGAACTTTTATTTACTTAACATTTAATTTAACTTCGGATTTCCCATTACGCAAGATTAAGCGAATTTTTTTTTGGATTTGCATATAACAAACTTGGATTCAAATAGAGGAATGTTCAAGCTTCATTCATTTTTCTAGCATTGTTTAGTTGTGAGCAGCATGTCCAACAATTCATTACGAAAGAAAACATGGAGTGAAATCTGTGTGGAGAAAGATGGTACTGGTGATATAATGCTTGATCTTTCCTTCTATTGAAGTTGATAATAGGAAGGGTTTTTTCGTGTGGTACCAGACAACTTACTTGGGTCATTCAGGAAATTTTGGATTTCATTAGTTTGTGAAAATTGTGGAAAATTTGCACAAAATTCGTACAAGTTTTTTAATAGGAAAAAGTGTGAAAAATAAATACTTTGCACTACTGCCAAATGCTTTCTGTATAATACCAAAATACTTTTTCAGTAGTTAAGTAATTATATTTGAAAAACTTGTATATATATATTGCAATGTTTGACTCATATATATATATATATATATATATATATATATATATATACAGACAGACAGTTATACACAGACAATCCGAAATTGTCAGATGAATATTGGGAAGTTGTAAAAACTGGAAATCCAGATGCACGTTCTTTGCGGATATCGAATTTGAAAGAAAAAAGATATGAGTCAAACATTGCGATGGAGATGGAAAAGATATCATGTTTAAATATAGAGTTTAAATTACCACAAAATGGGATAAGACTTATGTGTATATGAAATTCCACTGTTTCATAGGAAGTTTTGTTCAGTAGGAATATTACTCAAAAATATCGATTTGATTCATGAACAAAGTGCGGTAGAATTACCAAGTAAAAAGGAAGTCAAGGTTCTGTGAATTATTTTTCGAAAATGTTAAAATTGTAGTTTTCACTTGTCGATTTCGCTAGTAAAAAAAGTATTGAGATTGTGATATGTTGCTTTTAAGATTTTGGCCTTTTTAATTTAAATTTAAATCCGTGTTAGTAAGTTGTCAAATGAAGAAAACTGACAACAGTTAGTTTATTCAGCCGTCATTAGTGTTCATCTTATAACTTCTAGAATGTACGTCTTCTTTGGTTGTCAAATAAACTTCACTACAAATAATTCGGAAGCAAAAGGACCCGAAAAAAAGATTCCAGAAGTTTTTACCCGAAATTTAATTTCTTTCAAAAAGTTAAAATTGTAGTTGCGGATGAAAAATTTGAGGTTGCACTCGTCGGGAGTATTCAGTAACGTCTACCGTGGCACACTGCTTAGTCCTGGACCACGCAAAGAAATCGCACTCAAAAAAACTTGGCCAGGTGAAAATAGGCCTCAATGATCCCTCTTCAATCTGAGCCTTCGTTTTAAAAAATTCTGGAAATCACAAATATAAACGAACAATATTTGAATTTGGAAGTGTTTAAGAACTAACTGACCTAACTTCAGATTTCGAAGGGGACTCACAAGTAAATACAGAACTGAACATACTGCTTGGTTTGAGCTGCAGATGGCACAAAAATATTATTCGAGTGTTGTATACCTTTCGAAGTATTACTCCAGATAACAAGATATTTCTTCTTTATCCTTCATTTTTGAATTATGTGAAAATGTTGACTTATCGAATCTTTTACAATTTGCTTGAAAATATCGCTATTCAGCAGATGACAAAAAAGTGAGAATGAAAATTCATAGCATTTGATTTGAAATATTTTTATTTTTTATCAATTGCAATCAGCTCCATTTTTAGATCTGTGAGACAATGATATTTGAATATTTACCGAAAACAATGTCAAACATTGTCAAACAAATTGGTGGTAAATATCCTGATTATATCGACATTAAATTGTATTCATGGCAGTTGTTCAATGGATTGAGTTTTTTGTCGAATGTTACTTTGTTTACTGACTGATGTTGTTTTTACAACTTTATAGATTGCCATTCGAATTCATAGTTTTCTTCCTTGCTAATTGTTTCTATTCTTTTAAAATCCTTTTGTGAACACTTCTCGTTTTTTATTTCATGAATTGAAACATTTCAATGATAAATTTCTTTATACGTAAGCTTTATTGTAGAATCATATTTGTCATCGCGACATAAAGCCACAAAATTTGCTTATTGAACCAATCAGCGGTGTGCTAAAAATTGCTGATTTCGGTTCGGCAAAATTTATGAGAAGGATGACAAAATCTACTTCATACCAGGTATTGGTTATATAAAAATAATACTTGAAAGGTTTTTCTTATTTGGATTTTTTATCTTCTTCACTTTTATTAAAAAAGACGAAACCAAATTTCTTATGCTTTTAGCAAATTGTTCAGGTCACACGATATTATCGTCCGCCAGAACTGTTGCTTAAAGCCACTTACTATTCACCTCAAGTTGGCAAGTTTTCTATAGTTTCCCTGCAAGTTGAAGTGAACTTATATTGACCTCTTATGACCGTACTATTTAGATGTTTGGTCTGGTGGTTGTGTACTGGGGGAAATTACTAAAGGCAGCATATTATTTCCCGGCAAGAATGCAAAAGATCAGTTTAAATTAGTAATGGATGCTCTCGGAAGTCCGGATGAAACCGATCTTATGGATATGAAAGCGGCTATATCAATCGCTGGTGCTCGTATTGCACCACGTGGTCTCAGATCCATTCTACCTTATGCCTCTGAGGAAATTATTAATATCCTTCAACGAATACTTGTTTATAGTCCCGAAAAGCGCTTGTGCGGTAAAGTATTCTTGTCGGACCCATTCTTTCAAGAACTTTTCGTTCCTAATAAACGCCGAACCAATGGAACTTTTGTTTCCAATATAATCACTCTGGATGACTTACAAAAATTACCGTACGTCTTTTTAATCTCTAATTTTGCAAAGAAACTCATAGCTGCAATATTTTGCTAAAAATTTCTTAATAATAATTCCATTTTAACACAATTTCTTTACATGATAACATGCTGAAGTCATAAAATTGTTGAAGAAAGTTACAAAATTAAGTTTGATCTAATTATTAGATGTATAATAACTTAACATCAAACTATCTGAATTAATTAGAAAGCAAATCAATCCGAATGCTTCTAGAAACACCTCTTTAAAAGGAAAGTCAATTTAATGCAATCAAAAATTTACAACTGCTTATGAGAGAAAATAAACAATCCTAAAACAGCCAGAACTTCACTTGAACAGCGTAGAAAGAAACAACAACGGATTGATTACAGCGTGTTTTGTCTTCATTACAGTAGTTTTAAAAAAAAAAAAATTATTCTCGAAATCAATGTGTTACAATTTAATTTAAAGTGCAAAATGAATTTTTGAATAAATAATGGCAGTATTGATAGTTGAAGTTGTTATAAAAATAATCATAATCAAAAAGCTTAAATAAAGTATTGAGGCATAATTTCAATTCTAACGAAAAGAATTGAGTATTATAAAAAAGTTTAAACAAAGTTTCGCAGCTAAATTAACGACAAATATCCTTAGTTTTGCAGTTTTTTGTTTCGAAAATGCTTTAGAGCAAAAGGAAAAAAATTCCGGAAGATGTTTTAAGTAAAGTGATAAGAAATTTGAACATTTGTCATTCCTATTTGAGGTTGCATTTCTGTGTGGAAAAAATTATATATTTATAAGAGTATGTTATTTATATGATATAATTTACTTCCTTTTATTGGTCTTCTTTCCTATTGATTCACTTCAGCAGTCATAATTCTTACATTTGGATTCGAAATTGTTTGTCTGAGAATAATGTAATATTCAGAATTTCAAAGTTTTACACTTGAATGAAAATCACATCATTTTAATGTTAAGCAAGAAATTTGATTTGTCATGAACATACAATTCTCTGATAAACAATTATATATTAATAAGTGTTCAAAAGATTGGTTGCACTTATGAATCAAAAGAATAAGGAATGCATCAGTTAAGTGAAAGACTGTGATTACAACGATTTGGACTAAATTCCTCGATCATGAATTGAAGTTTGTGTATCAAAAATGAATGCTGAATGCTAGATGGAGTCCTTGACAGCTATACGACAAGAATATATCATGTGTGTGTGTGTGTGTGTATGTGTATTTATTATGGGTGCATACGTTCCTCAGAACATTACTGGCACGAGTACCGGATATGCAGATGCGTGGAGAAAACTAGAAGGTCATTGCATGAAACACCTATTATTTTCCTATTCCTTTTTATTGGCTACACCGAATTTGAATCTCTCCTGTCCAATTCATTCCATCCAAAACCATTCTTTCATCTTTTTCTACAGACTTTTTCAGATTACTTAGCTTATGTATTACTTCCATTTCGAAAAAATGATATCTTATTGCTTCTATTTTCTATTCGGTTCGGGAGTCTTTTCATGTATGTGATCGTTTGGTTCACGAGTAACTAGGACTAATTTTTGGTGTTTGCTTAAAGTTTGCAACTCAGAGTAGACCTAATCCATCTGTAATAAACTCTATTCTCTTTTTATGTTGCGACATTGATCTCAGATCAAATGAAAGTCAAACCTTAAATTTATCCTCTAGAGTTTAAAACGCAATCTGAAAACACCGAGCTGTTTAGAGAATAGAACAGATGGATGCATATCTTTCGAATACAGTCGTCCATGATCAGAATAAAGCAGTCAAAATGACCATCCTTAAAGGTCTTTTTGTAGGAAATATTATTAATTTTTAATGAGAAGGTAAATGAAACTTCTTACGAATTAACAATTCTAAAATGATGCTTTTTATCATTCCCGACAATAATTCAACAAAGTTTTACTTATATCAATTAGTTTCATTTAATTGTTACTTTAAAAGGTTTCTGATTAATAAATTCTTAAAACTCATCTTTCACTTTTTTTTTTTACTTATTATTAAAACTGAAGTTATTTCACCTTATTCCAATTTAGCTCAGCATTCATTCATTATTTGACTATGAACTAATAAAATAATGGCCGTTTGCACAGTAAATATTGGAAAATAAAGATTGAAATGCAAGAAAAGAATGAATTTAAATGAAAATGTTGAAATTTTAAAATCTTTTTTAAAAAAGAAACCAATAACTACTCTAATCGTTCTCAAAAAAAAAAAAAAAAAGAAAAGAAAAACTTGATAGTTCCACTAATAGTTTTATCCAATTGAAATTATCTAATTTATCAATAAGCAAAAAACAAAAAATGAAAATTTAGAATTGCTTTTAAAATTTCATTTTTAGATAACTTTGTTCAGATGGTTATCAGTCTGTAACTTTTGTTTATATGGTAAACAATCTATCTGTTTCTAAAAAAGATCGAACTTTATACAGCTATCCATTAATTCTACTGAATTTTATTTTCTCTCTCTTTTCACTTTTACAATTTCTAGCATAATTGGGTTGCTGATATGACCAATTGATCAAGTGATTAAGGATTAACTTGATATTATAACGATGAGTAATTTTGTTAGTAGAATTTGGTTACTATAGAAAGTTAAGTATGAACATTTTCAGGATGCAATATCTGAAACATAAAAATAATCCTGTACTACTTTTGTTTTTTTCAGAAGAAGTGGACCGCTGGAATTATTTTAATAATAATCAGCGCTTCCGTTAGAATATTAATTTATTGCTTTTATTATTTCTAATGGGTGATCAGAGTTTCTGAACAAAAATTAATGCATATTTTATTCGGTGGAAAATATTTTAAATGAAAGTTAATATCAACCGGCAAATCAAACTTGGAAAATTAACGGCATTATAACACATCATTAAAGTTGGGTCATCTTTTAACAGTGATAAAGAAAGAAATCAAGAATTATTATTCATTTATATAAAATAATTTATTAGTAGGAAGATTTAATGAAAAGGAGGGGAAAGGACCAATTATCAGAAACTGTTTCTCTTCACTACATCTTATCTAGAAAGGTATTTATATCCAAATGGAAGTCTTTGATTCTGTCTTTCTACCTGTTAATACAATGGTTGAGTGGAAATGAAGTATAGGAGAAAAGGAAATGGTAAAGTAATGCAAGCGATATTTATAGTCTTCCATTTCACTTTCTACCTCTTCATTTATTAATTAGCCAATTTGGTCATGAATTTTCTTTTTTCACTTATTTCCTAGCCTAAATGATTCTTATTCTTCTTTTTAAATTCTATTATACCATCTGTCATCTACTCATATTATATATAATATCTTTTCTGATCGCTTGATTTTCGCTTCCAATAAATTTCGTCTATTATCGTTTAAACTATGAAATCATTTTATCTGAAATTATTCTAGTAGTAATTGCAGTGGAATAATTTGGAAATTTCCGGCTGCGAAAATTTTTTTCAAATTTGAGAAATTTTCAGAAATTGGCTTTTTGTGTTTGTAGGAGAATGAAGTTTTCCCATAAGAAGGAACACTTCACTTTTGCAACAGTTCAGTGTCACAAGCAATTGCTACTGATAATGGTTTTCTTCCCTTTCCTTTTTTACATATGCCAATGTGCACTTACTTCCCTTGTCAGCAATAATGAGTTACTTACAATTTACCTCTTCAAATTTCAACACTCCTTTTCTGCATCATCTCTGCTTCTTCTTTTCTATGCAATATGCCATTTGCTAAATGGTCTGCCAAGGAACTGAGATAATTAGAAACTTATTCCAAATGTCAAAAGCTGAACTCTTGAAGATCAGAGGATAACAACACATTGAACCATTTAAATAGTTTTGTTGATAGCATATCTCATCCTTGATACTGAATATTCTATTTGTTGATTATAATTAATATCACGGAATATCAATGAATTAATAGGAACGGAGTCGAAAGATCATCCTAGATAAGTAAGCAAGTTATCAAAATGAGCGAGAAGTATTGAATGAACTAAAGATAATAGTCTTTGATAATCTCCCCCACGATTAATTTATCAAATAGCCTGTGGTCATTTCTAAATTGGTCAAATTTAATTCTCAAAAAGGAACAGAAAGTATAGATGGGTGATGACCAGAACTCTCAGAGAGAAGAATAGGAAAATGAACCAACACTGGGAAAATCAAGAAGTGAACACTGGGCTACAACCATGGTTGTGACGTTTCATCTTGGCTCTTTTGCCTCGAGCCAAGGATGAGTTTAGGACTGCATCTCTTCCTAAGCTTCTCTTACTCTCAATTTTCACTCATCATCTCTTCCTCTTCAAATGTTACATTATTCAAGGAGCTCAATCTCATGTACTTTTATTTCTCACCACACGCACCATTTTCTCCTTCTTTGCTTCCAACATTCCTTATATTTCAGCAGTTCCCTTCTCATCTCTTTCTTCATTCTCTGCTTTGATGGGCACAATCCGCGACCCAACAGCTGAGCGCTTGATTCTTAAAATAATTTCTAGTGGGATGGTAGGGCTTACTGGATTTAATTCGTAAAATTCAAATACTGAGGAGCATTTCAAAATCTGAAATGAAAAGACTGTTTGACATTCGATGGGTGTGAGTGGAACAGCGGCTAATTCTCTCTTTCGCAACTTTATTAATGCAAATTCATTGGAGAGTATAACCTGGACATGCTATATTCTGCAAATGCAATGTGCTTAACAACTTCGGGGAGCAAAACAGAGAACCAGCAGTGCAGGAGAAGGAAGGACTTACAAAACATTCAAGTTGCCTACAGGAGTAATTGCCTGAGTTTTGCGCTGATGAAAATCTTTTTAGCAAAGAAAGATTTGTCAGTCATTTTAATGGTAACTTAGTGTGCACAATTCACACATTGTGCCTTAGACTTGTCTGACACATAACTGACACTTCGGTATAACTTAATCGTTTCAAATTACAGAATTCACAAATGCATGCATCATCCGACGAATAGGGAAAAGAAGTTTAGATTTTGTAGTTTTCTTTACTGAATGATTATTTGTTAGTTAGTCGAAAGCAATGAGTTTCACATAGTTTGTGTGGTTCATCATGAACAGAACTGTACTTCCGATGATATTTAGGACTAGCATCACGACACGACAAGTTGCTAGCAGATGGCGTTGTCCGACTGATCCTCCCATTGAAAATTGTCTTTATACATGACATAACAAACAGACAATGAATATATGGTAATAGAAATTATGATAGGTTTTTCACTTGTATTTTTGAGTTATCCATCATTTCATACTACCTTTGGTACCTCGATACCAGTCGCACTTGGTTTCTTGAAAGAATACTGTCGTGTTAGCTTCCTATTATATACACAATTTCTATGTCCTCCTTAGTCGCTCAATGCTTTTTAGTGTGTTTTTCTCAAATTTTTTATTCTGTGCAAATAAATCCTACTCCCTTTGGCATCATCCATTTGTTACTCTCCGTGCGACACAATAAGATGTCTTTGTCACCAATACTTACCTCAATAATTGATTTTCATAACTGTTCGAAGTAGTTATAATAAGAATTTTTGCTGATCCTGCGTGTAAATTTCTAGTTATCAAGCAATTATCTTTCGTTACTTTTCCACAAACTTATCATATATTTAAGAGATTTGATATCCTAACGCATAAGAGAGAGAGAGAGGTGAATAAGCCATTCAACAAATTGAATGACGAATTACATATCTAATCGGACGACTTTGAATTTAAGTTTTCATTACTCATCAACTGTGTATCGATCTCCCACGTAATGGTGATGGTAGTAATCTCGTCTATCATGATATCTTTTTTCCCATTTTGTTGTTTTATAACTTCTATAATAATCATATATGTAAAGGAATTTTGATTAAAAGTGTCAAGCTAATGAGTCACTATAAACCAAACTATTAACTTATGCAAGCGTTTTTTGTTTACTTTTTAACGCTATTTCTCGTATACATATACATAAAAAAAGATTGATTGAATAAAATAATTCATAGTTGTAAAAGCAGTGCAGAAGGAAATTTAGAGAAGTTGCAGATTACATTGCCTGTTGGAGAATGAAAAGAATTCGTGATGGTGGATAAAAAAAGAGAACGTAAGCCAGTATTTAAATGGAAATTAGGGCAACGAAACAAGAAAGTAGTAAGGTAAATAAGTGAACCCGAAAGAAGTTTTACAGTATCTTCTTATCATATAATGGAGGTTTCAATCATGTCTTGTATTATATGGGATTTTTTTTTATAAAATTCAAAATCTCAGAAAATTTCAAAAAAAATTCGTGAAATTCAACCGTCATGGTAGTGTTTTTTCTTTCTGCTCTAGGTATAGTCAGGTTTCTGTCAGGACTGTACTGCTTTGCTTTTGGTGCATTGAAAAGTAATAGCTATGCTTAACCTTTTTTGATAAAGATAGCAATCAATTATTAGTGATAACGGTTCACTTTTGATCATTTTTATGTAAACATTTCTTTTATTGTGCTTGTTCAATACTCACTTTATTCGTACATATATGTATTAGTTAAATTTAAGAGACAGCGCATCATTTCTAGTGTGTCATTTATTCGTTGATTTCTGTTTCAATTTCTGATTGCTTATTTAATGCTTTCAGCATGAGCTTTAAAGTTAGCAAACTAAAGACGTTATCTTTCTTTACAGTATGAGAAAGTTTCTTGATAACAATGATAAGAACTATTGTGGCACGAGTATGTTAAATAATCAATTTAGTGATTTTTTTTTTTTTTTTTTTTCTAAAGGAGAATCGGATGCTAAACGAAAATTGTTTCTGATGCCTTTCTCTAGCCACTTGTGCTTTACAAGAATTTTGCAACTGCATAATATATATTATGTTAAGTAATCAAAACTGAATTGATAGCAACTTGAAATGATGGCTAATAAATTTGTTTGTTCAGATCAAAAAATTCTTTTAAAGTTTTAGCTTGTGATTATTGAACTTCTATCGATTATTTGTGCTTTCCCATTTTTGAAAGGATAGCTCATCCATTGCAATGCTGTGTTAAGCTTAAATTGCTTGAGTAAATAGAATGTTTCAAGTATTTTATATGTTTTGGCTATCGTTTCGACAGACTTTAATGCTTAAAGATTAATTTCATAGTTAACAATTTCATAATTATGCTAGCAACTGATATTTCTTCAGACTCAGTTTCGCCTGCACTTTTAAATAAGACATTGATTGCTGGTATGGGAAATTTCGGGAAAAGGTTATCATTTATCACAATAAATACAAATGAAGATCCATCAGCAATTGCGATATTCCTGGAAGAGTTAGATAACCGCTGTTGCATTCTTTGTTTAAGTTATGTCGAATACATACAAGAAGTAATATGGCGTATTCAGCAGCACATGTCTTTATGTGACATTGACGTTTTGTCAGAATAGAATTATGATATGAAATTATATGACAAATATACAAAAGTAGTGCAAGGAGTAAATTGATTTGATGACATCTTCCAAATGATAGATCTGCATGGCACATTTAATGGTTACTTAAATTACCTTCGGGGAAGAGGGAAAGTTTATTGCGAAGGCTAAATTTAATTTCATATGCGAACGACCGCAATTTAGACTAAACTGTAGTACTCTGATGTTCTGTTTCATATATTCCGCTGTGTGACAACTTATCCCCGTCTCGTAAGCTTGAAGTGAGTTAACTATGCTTTAGAAAAGTTTTCTTTCTTAGTTTTTTAAGATTATTAAAAAGCTAATAAGTTGTACATTTGAATCATTTGGGTTTTTCATCATTTCTTTTGAAAAGAAATTTGAAAAATACTTGATAACTGCATTTTCATCAAATTTCTTGCTTTTCAAGAAATCCCGGTCTGATGTGTGAAAATGATAGTGCTACACCTCCTGAGAGGTCAGACATATCGAGCTTTCTTTTTTAACTAATTTGGTTTACTTAATGAATTAACTTAGCGGATGACTGCACCAAAGGATTAGTCAGTTGTTCAGTGTTTTCATGAGACATATATCTTAATTAACTGAATATAATGACGGGAAGGATAGTAAAGAAAAGAGATGAAATGTTTTATACATCATAATCCTTCCAATCATTAAGTTTGAAAATCTAACTAACTGGAATTATCATGCCTTTCCTGAGGAATAGAATGCTGCTGAAAAGCTCGAAATTTAACGTAGTAGAAGTCAGAAATTTAGTAAAAATTCACAGAACTTCATTTAAATTTTAAAAAGTTCTTTTATTACCAACTTTGCATCCATTTTTTTTGTGGCTGAAAAAACTTTTTTTTTTTTTTTAAGTAACAGAATGCATTTATAGATTACTACGAATTGTTGATGTAACAAATATTAATACAAATTCGAAAGTAAATCATGTAATTTAGCCTATTTGGTTTAGATACATTAATTGACCTAGTATAATTTATAAGTTCCAGTATTTCGAATAAAAGGAAATGTTTTGAATTCTTAACAAAATGAATTTTCATTGATTTGAATTACCTTCGTCGGTGTTTGTGATCTTTGAAATTTTGGATGATGAAGTCGTTCAATGTATCGATAATCTATTAATTTAAATATATCATTTCAGAAGAATTTTGACCGTATATTGGAAGCGTATGAATCAGTTATGTCGAAAGACTATGAGGAACCGGAGCCAGATTATGTTAGTTTTTGTTTGTTAAATTTTAGCTTATTCTTTTAAAATGGATGCAGAAAGGAATTTCATGGATGCTTGTTCTAATGGCTTTAAGAAATGCATTCTTCCTTCTTCATAGATTTCCTCTGGACATTGTTTTGACTAATTTCACAATTTTCAGTGATTAATAATCCATTGAAGTGATTTGTGAACTAATGTTTTTGAAAAAAGTAGCAAATTTTCTGTTCTTTGATTACAATATTACTAAAATTTAAGAATGAAAAACAATTCATTTCTATAATTTTACTACCTGTTATTTACAATGTCAAGCGATAAGTAATGGTCTTGAGATTTTTTGATTTGATAATCCAATTTCTAATCTGATGTTTTTTGCGAGAATATTTGAATTCATTTACAATTTCATATTTCCTACATCGCTTCTTTTGGGAAGAACCATTGCAATTTGCGTAGGATTTCTCAATAGTTTTGTTTGACAATATGATTTTAATTCGTAAACGATAAGAGATAATATATCATATTACTCTTCTTCGACCCAATACTTTTTGCGTTTAGTACCTACAATCAGAGTGCACGCGGTCTGGAAACATTAGATAGACCTATCAGAGCACTTCATATCTACTACTGCGCAAAGCTTCATGATTGATAGCGCTGATAGTGAAGTATAGCTTATACCGCTGTGATAATGGCTTTGATTAGATTACTGCAATTAGTTTTAAGTATGCACTCTTTTCTTCAAATCGACCATCTGTTTGGATAAGAGCAGCGCAACAGCAGAAACTGTCCTATATTGTTTCTTCCTGTAGCAGACATTATGTCCGGAAATTCCGTTTTATATGTCTATCTCTTTTTCTGCCCGCGAAATAGACGAACATACCCGTAGACTAATATTATAATTTCTCAAACTTTTCAAAGCTTGAAAATTAGATTTTTTGTTTATGTGGTTCAACATAAATTCATTAGATTGAAAAAATTCTAAAACATTGTCATTCAGTTCAAGTTTCAATTTTACTACAGTTAAAGTTTCAGTTTTAATCCATTTCGTAAGTAACTAAAATATTGTTTTAATTTTTGAAATATATCGAAATATAAGTAAGAGTAACAATTCGAAGTGTGCTGTAACTTTTATCTAAGGTTTGTAGCTAAAAAAATTTGTCGCATCTTATAGTGATGTTATATTTAAAAGTATTTCTGTAATTTTGCTTCATAATTTTTCTTTTTTAATGAGGAAAGTAATTATTCTAAATTTCAAATATTTGTATAATCAGTGCTAAACTCGTATGAATTATCCTGCAAAAAGGCGTAATATTTTCGGTTTGATTCTTATGCAATATCTAATATATTCTGTCTGAAATGACTTTGTTAGCGAGCTTGATTATAAGTTTCTTCTATCATTAATAAATGTCATTTCTCTTAGATATCATTTCCTCTCGCTATCATAAAATTTGTCTCTTAATTAATATTAGATGGATTAAAGTGATAAACGCCTCTGGAAATGAATTAATTCCTTTAGCGATTGCTAATGCTTTTATGCTTTAAATTCTAGACTATAATGAGTATAAGTTTTCTTAGTAATATAAAGTTTTGGACGTATAATTGGGCATAGTATGGGAGGCAATGTAATTCTGTGATGTTTGCATTTCCGTAAAAGTTTTAAAACAAGAGATTAATAGTAAGCACTTTTCACTTTTATATTTATTTCTAAATATCTTTGGCGCTTAAAAATGTATCGCAAAGTTGCGAAAAGCAAAGTAAAGTAAATAGTTCCTTATCTTACCTTATATGTGAATAACTTTACCTGAAAGTTAAGCCTCAGTAATATATATATATATATATATATACTTACATTTTTCTCTTTCATTATTTTCCTTTTCACTAAAACAATAATTTAAAAAAGTTTTCGGAAATTACAATGTCGTTTTCGTACATACTTGGAAATAGCCTCAGATTCAGCATATGACCAATATAAATAAATCCAACATATAAACAAATTTAATTTTAGTGGCATATAAAATTTCCTTCATTTTGCTTATTTCCAAATTTACTATTCATAGTCACACAATTTACTATTCCCATTTCTGAAATTACAAATTTTGATCTCATCGTTTTATATATCTGATACTATATTTTGGTTAGTCCAGTATTTATTTATGCCACGAAGATTAAGTTTTTTAAAAAAGCTCTCAGAATAGGATAATTGGAATCAATTTTGTCTGTAAGGAAATTATCGTTTGAAATGCTATAATCTCTGCATAATCAAGATTTCATCAGTAAATTGGTTTTGAAGTAATTTCAGTTCAATATGCTATATATATATATATATATATTATATATATATATATATATATATATATCTTTCATCTCAATCTGCATTATTTTTGTTGGATTTCCGAAGATCGTTGTCACAAAATTTAGAAACTCATTGCGCCGTTGTTCTCTTTTCTTTCAAATTATTATGTCTCTCATCATTTGTCATCTAAATCATAAGTTTGTTAGGCAAATTTAAGCTTTTTTTTTTGCAGTATTAAGTAAAGTGGAAATGGGCATCAATAGAATTGTTTTTAAAATGACTGACTAAGTGCTCAGTCGTTTCATATATTTAACAACAAAACTGCTGAGCGCACTATGTTAGCACTAATCGGAAATGCTTGGTGTAGTATATTCATTTACTTTATCAGTTATCTATTTCATTGATTCTTTACAAATAAACAGTCATTACAGATCACTTGTAAAGAATCAATCCAATCAACATAACTCAGATTCTAGAAACTTTTTATGTAAGAATCCTTTTTGTTGCTTTTTTCTAGATTATCTTTGCTAAATGAGTGAAGAATTGATTTGTTGAGAAGGATGATATTAATGATCTGTAGTACTCTATAAAATATATATCTTCTAGTCATTCTCCTACTTTGAGCTAATCTGAAATGCGATCAGTGCTGCTGCATTAAAATGCAAGCGGAATTTTCAATTGTTTTGCTATGATGTGGCTTATTAATTTTAGCTGGTCGATAGTTTAGTTCAGTGAAAAACGTAAATTATTCTGCTCCAATATGGGTTATATGGTATTAACGGGATGATATTAATGATATGGAGGAAGGAGGTTTGAAAAGAGATCCGGAACATTTCCGGTTACATAGTTCGTAAGAGTTAAAAGATATTGCTGTCAAATTCATAACTTCGTCAGAAATAGTGGATTGTGAAGAGTGAAATATTAATAAAATAGGATGAAATTAGTCATCGAAGTAATCCTGACGATTTTCATTTGCATTCCGGAAACAATCAGTCGTCTAGAAGAAATCAATTAGAAATGTGTTTGAAAGAAACATATAGATTTTGGGTAAATTATGAAGCCTAAGTCCTTTCTTCTGTGAAATTGGTTGCATATGTGTTATTGACGAGTAAGGAAAGGCGCTAAAGACCACGAGAATATAACGAAGTTGGATGAAAGCGTTGTATCGCATCGTATTTCTCATCAGTTTGTATCTTTCTTTGCCATTCACTTCGACAGAATTTAATGACCCCTTAAAAATGCAGTGTCTTCTTGACAGTACTCACCTCTGTGATTCATTTAGGTTCCGATCCATCAGATTTTGTAACAACTTCGTCAACACGAATTAATTCGCAAGAAATTAATTTAATGTCTCACATAAGATTTTGCATTGATGAAATATTTCACTGTTGGTATTTCTGAAAATTATTAATCTTTTGTTGCATTCAACGTTTTCTAGCATGAATTTTCTGGGCAGTATTTTTATATAAATTTTTTTATAAAGCTATAAAAGTTGATGATCATAACAACATCCAAAAAAGTCTCTTGCCAAACATAACTGTCATTTCAGGAAAGGGGTAAAAGCAGTGATAAATTCAATCAAAATTCTATTCTACTTACGACATTTTTCCCACTATTATCTAAAAAGATTTATTATCTAATTCGTGACTTTTTTAGGTTTAATTCAAAGGAATTTTATATTTAGACATATTTGAAAAGAAAGTATTTTAAAAAAGTTATTTTCCAAATTCATGGCAAATTTAAGAGAAATTTCTTTGAATGATTTTGAAATATTAAAAAAACTTGAAAAAAATTGCGCAGCATCGGCTCTATTCATTTTCATGCATAGCTTACAATATTGCACAGAAGCGTCAATCAAATGACCACCAATTCGTCAGGCGTCATCCTTGACGCATGCTCGAATTTAAATCAATTTTATTGAAAAGAATGAAAGTCCTTGAGAAATAGAGAAAAGGCTAAAAGACGAAGGCGAAGAGAAGAGCGACAAGTTGTTTTGTGTAGATAATGTATGGCGAAATTGTCCATACTCCGCCCGTTTATCATCATTGTATTATTTCGTCCGTTCATTTCAAATTTACGCCAAAAATAAGTGCTGTTCCTCCGGAAATTAACATTAGGATTTCATGTTGTACGCGTGGTCGCTAAGAGCTTAATTCTTTCATCGATTATTTATCATTTATCATAATTAGTGAGAAAATTAACTTCATAAAACTTATTCGTTTTTTGATTGATCGTTAAGAAGTTAATTGTAGCTGTTTCTCTTCCATTTTTTTTTTTTTTTCATTATTAAAATTTCATTCAAAAAAAGAATGAAAATTTGGAAGAAAGAAAAGTGATTTCCGGTTTCTGGCCGCTGATTTAAACAGTTTTCTGCCAAAGAAAAAATATTAGATATTGTTATATTTTTTTTTTTTTTGTTATTTCATATAGATTAAAACGAGAAAAAAGTCGGTAGTGAAAATATTTATTCATTTCTTGTGTTGCTTTCATCAAGTACAACGTTTCACTACGTCATACACTTTTAATTGTCCTGTTTATCTCAATTTTTGATACTGTAATGATCAGCTCGATATACTTACTGATTTACAATTCATTTTTTATCCTTCTTCAACCTTCGTTTCATTATTTATGTTGAAGAGTTTCAAATTTCCCATACATGAATCTTTATTGCTATAAAAAGCCTTCAAAATACAAAGCTCATTAACAAATTTAAATTAAC